CCCAGGTCCCTTTCCCCTGCTCTACTCTCTACCAGCTCAGTCGCCAACCTATACTGGTGCGTGGAGTTGGTCTTACCCGGATGCAAGACTCTACACATGTTGTGTTTCATTAAATTTCTCTCCGCCCAGCTCTCCAGCCTGTCTAGGTCTCGCTGAATGGCAGCACAGCCTTCTGGTGTTAAGGGACTTTTACAGCTGTTGTAAGGTTATTTCATTGACCACACAATATGGAATAACTGAATCCGAATAATCTTGTGGTTTTAACAGTCTACTCTTAAATATAGAAGATTTACTATTAGGAAGGTAAAAAATTCCATGCATTATATTTCAAATACATTCTGGTTTTAATTGGGAATCTTAATGCCAGTGATTGCACAGTTTCCATAAAGTCAAAATTTATTTATTATATCATCAGGATTAGTTCCCAACCAATTGGGTAGCAGAGAAATCAAAGCTAACATCTGAGATCAAGGGGATCATTCTGGGTTTCTACTTCTAAGATAGGTTCAAAAATTCTATGATGTTGACAGATCTCATTTTCATTCTGCCTGAAAACTAAGCCAAATCCTAATTTCTGTTTCATTTCTGTATCACCAATAAAAAAAAAAAATTAAAATATATATGAGAACACAGTTTGACCCAAAATTGTTATACTATGGGTCATAAGGGTTTAGGTGCTTCACGAGGACTCTCTAAAATCTGTTTAACATTCGTTATCTTACAAAGAAAAGCAGTTCCACAAAGGAAAAATCCATTAAGTGTTTTTTTTTCCCCTAAAGTAGTCTAAAATGCAAATAACAAACAGGATACTCCTGTCCAATTAATGCCTGTCTGCTGTTAAATGCAGATTGGCTGACAAAGCCTAATTACAGGGTAGATAGCTGAGTCGTTATGAAACTCATAATTATGTTTTCATTGTACTTTATCTTTGAAAGCTAACGTCCAATTACAATAATGAATTTTGTGAAGCAATCATTATTCTTATTGAAATAGATCTTCTAGTTAAGCTGACTCAGTTCTGTATTTTATGAAGCAAGCACTCCAATTATTTCTATTATACTGTAGGTATATAGATGCTGTTTTACAAATAAAAATAGTAGAACCCTGTGCCAGCAGACTTGTAATATAAATTAGCCATAAAACAGTGAGATAATGGAGTGAGGAAAGGTTGAGAACTGGGAAATGGGCCTGCAAATGAGAAATAATATCCTGTGTTCTGCTCACACGCCTTTATCCTATGTATGTACATACGGTACTGGTGCATCTGTGCTGCCTACAGTGAGAGTTTCTTAGGACAGACATCCTGCCCCATGGTTTTATTGTCTGCTGGGTGCATTGTGGAGACATTGTAAAGGAGGATCTGGCGTGAAAGCTGGGCAGTGGAGGTTTTGTGACACGTTGTAAGAGGAAGAACACGCTGGAAGGCTGGGGAAGGGTAGGGTGTTGATGCAGAAAGCTAGTAATTGCTCCTTATGCTTAAGGAAGTATTTGCATGTTTCATCAGCCATTATATATTCTGAAAACAGCAACTTTCCATGCTTCTAATAATTTTGCACTATTTGATGTTTTCAAAAGCTCCTGAAGCCATGGGACTGAGAATTTTTTTTAGTCCAAATAAAAAGAAGTATAAAATGTAGTCTTTGTCTGAATCCTGTGATTTTTGTGCACTAAAGTTAATGATGTTTTAGTGGACAGAAATGAGAGTAATGAATGTTTTCTTCTCTATCTCTCTCAGTTTGGAGATTTCCTGTTTGAAGAGGAGGTCGAACAGTGTGCTGACCTGTGTCAAAGAGTTCTCCATCACTGCAGCAGCAGCATAGATACTACACGAACTCAAGCTTGTGCCACACTTTATCTCCTCATGAGATACAGCTTCAGCTCTACCAGTGTAAGATTTTGAGAACAGCAGTATGTTTTATGCCACCTTTTTTGTGATGAAATGAAACTGAAAACTGAAGTTGTGGTAGCAAATGGAATATGTCTGCAGATAAATAGTCATATGTTATGCTGTTCAGCACATTTGAGCCAGGAGAAGTGCTAGAAGTGAGGGGGAAAGTATTTTTAATTATTATTCATTATTTTGCTTTTCTGCAACATCTATAAGTGCCTCTTCAAATGAAATAGCATTGGGCCCTTGAGAGCAAGGACTATACAATGTATAAGCAATACTCTTCATTTTGTCATGTTTTTTTTTCCACTCCTGTGTGAGAACTACTTAAACTTAGACTAGGTCTATTCTAATGCAATTACAACCTCAGTAGAACTACTGTATGCTTGTATTAATGGGAATTCTTCACTGGCCCCTTGGTCTCAATAGTAGGCTTTTATTCTTACCACACATACACAGCAAAAATTCGTATGTTATGCGTGTAGGTTCACAATGTCCCAGCATAAAAGTCCATGCATTACCATTTTGGATAGCATCTGATCTCGCACAGCTTTTTCTTCCGTAATTATTACTTTACAAGCCTTGAACATGTAAAAAGCATTGGCTTTGCAGGAGGAAAATGTGCCTTTCAGACACCATGATCAGCATGGCTTAGTGCATCACCAGGTGAAGTCCTCAGAGGCTTTTCTTTCCAGCGTTGTTTCGAGAATGTTTTCCCAGTCCTGCTTCCACTTCTTCTCCTCTCTGGGTGGCCTGATCTACACACCCACTGACCTGTGCAGAGGGGAAAAAAGATGCTTCTGTCTTCCCCTTCTCTCAAGCAAACATATGTATTCCAAGGAACATTCTTGCCCCAAAGCACAGACATGTCAGAATTGGGGAACTTTGGCTTAATCAGGTAAAACAGGACTGACTTTGATGCACCAGAGGCCACTCATGTGAGCAGTGAGTTTAATGCAATCAGTGTGGGCAGGAGAAAGTGGGTTTTGTTTATACAGTAGTGAGCTGATTGTTTATACAGATGTGAGCTGATATTCATGGTGCAGTGCAGCCATCATTCTATCATGGTTTTGTTTTTTCTTCTGAAAGAATTTTGCAAGAGTGAAGATGCAAGTGACCATGTCACTAGCCTCCCTGGTTGGAAAATCACCGGAGTTTAATGAGGAATTCCTTCGACGGTCCTTACGAACCATCCTAGCCTATGCAGAGGAAGATGCAGATATGCAAGCAACTCCATTTCCCGTTCAGGTCAAATCTTTTCTGACATCTGTGGATTTTATCAGGAGCTTTCACATAGGAAAGTACTTGGAGCAAGTCCTAGATCCTGGTCTTCCAAAGCAATGAAACTGAGGATGCAGGGGTTATTGCATGAGTTTGTTTCTAACACAGCAATAAGCAGGGAAGAAGTAGAGGACCTAATTGCATAGAATAAACTGAAGTTCCACTGAAATCACATTACAGGAGAATCATCTCTTAGCTCCATGTGCAGCTTTCTTCTAGACCCTGGCAGGAACTGTACCCTGTAAGAGTTTCCCAAGGTGGAATTTGATCCGTTACATTTTCAGACAAGTAGCGTCACGGAAACTTCTTTCCCTTTGTCAATTCATAAGGCAGTGCAGAAGTAATGAAAAACATTTCAGTCAACTGTCAGGTGCTTTGCTGAAGTTTTCACAGTAGCTCAGCTTGTGCTGAAGACACAAAACCATCTGCTTTGTTATCAGATCACAGATCAACTAAAGATGAACTCCATTAGCACATAGATTTAGGGGGGGTTAATTCAGAAATAAACAGATCAAAGGATTCCAGCTTATTTTGATTAATTTAAATGTGTGTATAAAATTTGCCATGTCAGCAGTCTTCGCTGCATTGGATAGAGTTGGAAAAACATATCTTGCAGCAATTCAGCATCCTGTTATTTCCTTGGGTAAGAGGGACTAAAAGGGAGGAACATCATCTGGTACAGATGCTGTTATTTTTTTAGAAGGGAAAAAATAAACATCTGAGAAATGCATGTTGATCTTTGTATTACTGCAGGTAGAGGAGCTGCTGTGTAATCTAAACAGCATCCTGTCAGATACAGTGAAAATGAGGGAATTTCAGGAAGATCCGGAGATGCTTATGGATCTCATGTACAGGTGAACCATTTAGAATTGCTACTGAGGAAATTCTGCAGTGAGGTGAGCACAAGAACTGTGCATTTTAGGGACAAGCTGCGGACAAACCCTCTAGCTGTCCTGTTTGTGTATGTTTCCACTTTAGCACAGCTGATCTGTCACAGGAGACCTAGGGTGTGGGAGTGAGCATGTTGCAGCAGTGCCACTGGGAAGTGGGCATAGGCTTTGGCAAGGATGGGAGTCAAGGACTGATGAACACTGAAGAGTCTGAGGTTCAGAAGTTTTACTCCCCTTATAGCCCCTGTGTGTCCTGCCTACCCCTACTTAACCATTCTTTTTGTCCTGTGCTTAGTGAATCATACAGAATAAAAACAGACATGTCTCCTTCCATTCAGTCCAGGTGGAGAATTATAAAGGTTCTTTCTGTTATTTGAGGAGAAATGATTGTTCACACCTCCTTTCTGCCCCGTGTTGTTAGAATTGCCAAAGGATATCAGACATCACCCGACTTGAGGCTGACTTGGCTGCAGAACATGGCAGAGAAGCACACGAAGAGGAAGTGCTACACAGAAGCAGCTATGTGTCTAGTCCATGCTGCAGCTCTGGTGGCAGAATACCTCAGCATGCTTGAAGATCGAAACTATCTCCCAGTGGGCAGTGTCAGCTTTCAGGTAAGAAAAGGCTCCCAGACTCTGACAACATAAGGCTGGGGTGGCCTGTTCTGGTGCGTGTATTCCTTCTTGTGTTAAGCAGAGTAGAAGTGCATGCATAGGGAGGAAAAGTTACACTGGCAGAGTATCCACCACCACTTTTGGTAGGTTGTTCAGATGATTTATGCTTACTGATGAAAAGTGGAACTTTAGTATCTGGCTGTTTCTAGCCTCTATTTCCAGCAGTTGGATACTGTCATCTCTTGTTTGCTAAGTAGAACCCCTCTATTGTCATGTGCCTTTTTCTGGGGCTGTTACTCATCAACTGTGACAGATGCATCTTTCAAACTTCATTCTCATAACCTAGGTAATTGGAGCTACTCAGTTCTTGTAGGCATGTTTTCCAATCCTTTGATTGTCCTCCAGTTACCAACCAACACTGTTTTGATTGATGAATGACACAATCACCATAGTCTATATACAGTCACATCAAAGTCAAGTAAAAATGTCCTCTAAGTTATTTCAGCCTGGGAACTATCTCTTAGCTTATCTCTCCAAAGATTCTTTTGGCGTTGTTGAGCTCTTTGCTCAGTAATACATTGATCTTTTCCAGAGAGTTTTCTTGCATTTTGTTTTTTACACTTGTTTTCTGTGTCACATAGATGAAAGCATAACTCTTTGTGGTTAGAGTTAGACATTTTGAAATGCAGACATTTATATGTAGTTTATTGGATTATGCAGTTTTGGTTACCCTTACCTGAACTGACTTCATGTGCAAATTCAGTTATTTTACTGCTTTTTTCACACATTATTGAAAATAGAAATGGCTGAACCCTTAAAATATTCCCTTGTGTTGATGATTCCTCCCTTACCGTTATTCTTGAAGACCAATGAAGACCGTTGTTCATTTACAGAGTATTTGCTGCAATGTTTAGGAATCATTCCAACTAATTAGTGGAAATGTTTTGCAGAATCAACTCAGATGTTGTAGAGGCATCTACTGTTTGGGCATTATTGCCATTATGAGGTTGTAATATCTTTAAAAGTATCAGGTTTCTATAGTCTGGTGCTGATTCAGATTAATTACAATACCTTTAATTTTTTCTTTAGTAATATTTTCTATGAGTATTTCCACCACTTTGTCCTGGATGCAGACTGATAGATCTACCACTATCTGCTCATATTGTTTACTTTTTAAAAAATGGGGTCCACAAAGCATATTTCCTCCTCTGGAACTTCCCCAGCTTTCTAAAACATCTGACAACTCAGTATTCACTGCCTCAATACCCTTTTGCTTAGCTCTTTTAAACTGTTGAGGAGCACATTTTATGGTCCAGGTGATTTTTGAAATGGCTAACACCAGTAGTTGGTACATTTGTCATCCCTTGATGTAATCAGACCACCTGGGTTTTTTTTTTTCCCTTCAGAATAGTGAATGTGAACATAATTGAACTACTTGGCACTTTGCATTGAATTTAGTACGTTAGGCTTTAGTATTTGCAATTCCACCTTAGCAATCAGGTGGTGGACTAGTATTATTCTTAAAATCATTTACTCTTAAGATAGCTGTATATACTTTTTTTGCTGGCTGAACTTCTGGCCATGGACTTATATTTCTGCCATTTTGCCTTCCTTATCAGTTTTGTATACTTCCTAACTTCTAACTTCCATTTATTACTTCCATTTTCTTCTTTTCTACCTACTTGTTAACTATCATCACTTAGATACAAGTGAAATCCCTCCCAATGTCATCCTGCTCCCAGGCTGCCTTGAATGCTTGTAATCTCACACACTTAACCCTAATGCAATTCCTCCTTTCATTGCCCCCAGATTATGCTGACTGCCGTGAATGGGTACATTTCTAGTTATTTTAGAGAACTGAATACTATTCTACAATGCACTAGGCAAGCAAAAACTTAAAGTTTAAAAGCAACAAATCAATCTCTCTCGTCAAAATGCTTGTGTAAACGTGTTTGTCAAAGGAACAGTTGCTCCATAGGAGAGAAGTAATAAAATGCATTAGTGACCAGAAACCAAATTACACAACTCTTTATCTGACAGCGTAATTTTGAATTTCAGTTTGCTCAATAGCAATAATTAACGTACAATAACACTTTGCATTTTTACAAAGACTTACGAGAGAAGAGTTCCCATTCTTTACAAACAGGTTTGTGTTTTGTAGCACCTGTAAAGGTCTTGTTCAGATGACCTTGTTAAAAGAGAGAAACACTGCTGAAACTGTCTCAGCTTCACCTGGAATTCCATATCTCACTCACTGACTCTTTCTGTGCCTATTTCTTCATTTAGCTTAGATATGAAATGAACTGGTATTGGTGATACACATTTGGTTGAGGGTGATAATAATGTGTATTAAAAAAAGAATATTCTACATGAGCAGAATAAGATGAGTAAAATGAGGAAGCAAAGGGTGAAATCAGTTGACCTAGATCTGCTGCAGTGACTCTGTTAGCATCCAGAAAACTGATTGTCAGTAGAGTAACACTTTTCCTTATAGTGTGCCAGACAAAACTGCGTATGCTTCCCTCTGTGCAATCAAAACTGTCCCTCAAAATCAGAACGGGTCACTTCCAATGAAATTCCTTTTGAACTTAATTCGTGTTTACACTAAATGCCCTTTGCAAGTGGTAAGGTGGACTTAGAGTATGAATTGCATATGGACTGACTTGAAAGACACTTTATACTACCACAGACAAGGACTTAGTGCATGTGTCTACCTGCTGAGGCACAAGGCTAATTAGCCTCAGCAGTAGCCTAATTCAACTGTGCTGTTTTGGGGATCTAGGTTGCAGGCTACCCTGTATCTAACGTGGTGATAAGGGCTGGGGATCACGGTAAAGCCCCTTATTTTACAGAAGTTTTTCTTTTCCTTAAAGAAAACTAGGCTGGTGAGGTCCTAAATAATTGCTGATGGTATACGTGGTAACTTATATATTGCCTTTATTATACAAGGGATGTGTAAAATTCTTCAATATGAAAGGTAGATCAAGGCAAAAGGTGGGTGAGGCATGTCTACTTTGCAAAAGACCATGCAAGCACCAGGAGTACATCATGAAGGCTCTCTCCTACTAGTGTGCATGGACTGTGAAACGTGGAAATACATGCCTACCATTAGTTATTACAGGTTTAAAGGCAAGGTGTCTGTGACTTTCTTGGTTTCTTTCATAAATAAATCACTCCTCTGGACTCTTTTCCCTTTACTACAAAAAATAAAAAAGCCACTAAAGGCCACATGCCATTCTGTGAAAACAGTCCTTAATGGCTACTGTTACAAAAAGGGAAAACCAGAAACTGAGCTGCAGCATGAGTTGCCCTCAGCTGCAGTTGTATGAGGTGTGTGCCAGGGAGGCCAACTCTGGTCGGAGTCACTATCTTCAGTGAGACTGTTGGGTAAGAAGTACACATGGGTGTGCTAAAACATGCTGCAGTTTTCACTCTGGCTGAAATTCAGACATATTCTTAACTCCTGCGAATGCTGTCCTGTCCTTTGTGCTCGTCCTTCCAGTGGAGCTGACATGATGTGCCTAGACACTATGACAGCAGCATGGTTAGAGTAAATTGCACCCATAGAGAAGTAACTACATCTGCAAAACCTAAGGAGGAAAGTCCCATGTTGCTAGTGATGTGTGGTGCCAATTCCTTATCTGAAATCTCATCAATAGTAACAGCCCTCAGTGTCTCTGGCATTTTATAAAGATGTCTTTAAGGAGCTGGCTAGCTAGCCAGCGGGCATCTATCCTGCACTCCGACAGATTGTCATTGCCAGTTTCTGCTGAAGTGAGACAGTATGACACTAGTTTAACTCCTTTTAATTACTAGCAAATCGAAGCTTACCATTTCTGCTGCTGTTGAAAGTTACATGTGCTAGTTCCATACTGTATGTACACATATTTTAATGATCATTTATATGTATTTCTATGTATTATAAAATTTTTAATATTGACTCTACTCAATGTCATTTATTCCAAGGGATCCTGAAGAACTGTAGACACATTATTTCATGGTCTAGAATCTCAAAGAGTGACTGACACTGTATTCTTTATCTAGTTTTCTATAAACACACATTGAGATCAGTAACTCTTAAAAAGAAACCAGGTAAATTCTGCAGGATCAAGGTGTAATATGGCAGAGGCTGAAACAGAGGAGCAGCATTCAGTTACTGCAGTTTTTAGAGCAGCATTGTCTATGTCCTACTTTTCCTCTGCTTGTAAAAGTCAAATCAAACAACTTGAAAGCTCAACTTCTTCAAGCAGGTGGCAGGAGGTCCGGCATGCAGCTTGGAATTTCCCACCCCTAGGCACCAGCAGCGGGAAGGGCACATTGGTTGTAGCTCCACGGAAATCCAGCCATCATGGGGGGGCAGTTTGCGACCTACAGAAGTCTGCCTTTTAAACCCAAAGCAAGAAAGAAATTTAGGATTCTTGTAGTGGAACTCCTGATCTGCCGTCTGTGGTGATCTATGATGTTACATTTGCTTCTAAATGGAATTTAACTGTGTATCCCCTGGCTGCACTTTGTAATCTCATTCTTCTTGCCATCATGTAAATATGTTGAAACTGGTTTGCCTTAATCTTTATGATAGACTGTTGAACTAGGCTTCTGATTTCTCTGATCTGACGTATTTTAGAACATTTCATCCAATGTGCTGGAAGAATCTGCTGTTTCAGATGATGTTTTGTCTCCAGATGAAGATGGTATATGTTCTGGGAGGTATTTCTCAGAAAGTGGCCTGGTAGGTCTGCTGGAAAAAGCAGCAGAGCTCTTCAGCACGGTAAGTGAGGGCCAAAATCACCAGGAAATGGAGGGGGGTGTGTCTGGGCCAGATCCATAGATTATTTTCCTGCACATGAGGAAACAAAGTCTTACTGCTAAACCAGGCTCCACAAATCTGCCCCACTGCAAACAACAGGAGGCAGATACATTCGATGGCTGACCCAGCCATGCCTCAGCCAGGTTGGCTAAGCAAGGCTTTTCAGGTAGCCTAGTTTAGCCATATATCCACCTCTACTGTGCAGACTACAGTCAGCATCAGCAGAAAGTGATTGTCCCAGGCATGAACCTTTTGGTTGGTATTTTGATGGGATAGTACATTTAAGAAAAAGATCTTGCTTAAACTATAGATTTTAGAAAGTATATGAGAGTTACTCCTGTGCTTTTACACAGCATACAATCACCAGCCTCATAATCTACACATGCCACCTAAAGAGTCATGATGTTAATATTCAAGTAGCTCATCATATTGCTGTAGTGCTGAAGAGGATATATGATTTAGCGTCTCTGAAGATATCATTTCGGTTCCTTTTGTCCAAATGCAGCTTTGGTTCCCCTAAATTATACATGCTAAACAAATCCATTTCCTTCTGCTCACCTGCATTTCGAACTTCTCTAGCCCCTAAGTAGAAACCGTGTGCTTTACACAGGAATTTGGGCTTGAGAGCCCAACAGATCAGAGATCCGAATTAAATCCAGTTTGTTGTTTGCGGCTCTATTACTAGTTTTTAGAAAGCTAAAACAGGCAACACAGAAGATTAAAAAATGAGCCCCATAAATCCCCTTTTCAGCCAGGCCATTAATGGAGATCTAGTTTCTTTTCAGAGTGCATGAGGACTCATGTCTTTTCTCCTATTTTTTTTCCCTTTTTTTTTCTCTCCCAAGGGGGGATTGTATGAAACTGTGAATGAGGTGTACAAAATCGTCATCCCAATACTGGAAGCACATCGAGACTTCAGGAAGCTTACCTTGACACACAGCAAGCTACAGAAGGCCTTTGACAGCATTATTAATAAGGTACTCGTGAGGCAAGACACTGCTAGCAAAACACATTGCTGGGTTGCACTGTTTGTTTAAGACTAGTGGTAATAAAACTGTTCATGTGAAATAGATCCTTTTCCTTTTTCTAACAAAAGTTTCCGTCTGCTTTGGTCTACCTACAAAGGGTAGGTTACTGTGAAAAGAGGCTCTATCCTCTCTGTAGGAAAAAGCAGAGATGAATATAAAACTGGTTTAGAGGTACGGAAAAATAGCTGAACAGGTCAAACTTAGAATAAGAACATGCATGCTTCCACCTGGCCACATCTATTTAAGAAAAATAACTTTATTGTCAATTAACTATTGTTTTCAGTTATAAAATAGAAGAAATACAAAAGCCTGGCTAAATTCTCAGTGCTGACACTGCCTCTTTCTATCTCTTTCTCCAGAAGAATCTTATTGCTAAATCTAGTCAGTTTCCAATTCTTACCATTTTTCATTGCAAAATTTTAATTTTGTTAACGTGTATCTAATGGAATTAAAAATAATAAATTATTTTGTTTTGCAAAAGTCACTTCATGATTAGCCCAAATTTTGTTAAATGTCAGTCAAATGTCCCCTTAATTTCTATGCTTTCCTTCATGAATATGTGCTTCTAATCTGTCAGCACTGGTGATAAATAGAACTGGCTCTGAAATAGGGAAAATGTGGCATTAGTGAGTTTTCTTATACATAAATTGGGAAAAAAGGGCATCCAAATACTACAATGTTGACATAAAAAAATAAGTAATTCTAAATTTCCTCTTTTTATTGATTAGGGTCAAAAGCGAATGTTTGGAACTTACTTCCGTGTTGGTTTCTATGGATCAAAATTTGGGGACTTGGATGAACAGGAATTTGTTTATAAGGAGCCTGCAATTACCAAACTTCCTGAGATTTCTCACAGATTAGAGGTAAAGAAAAAAAAGTTGTGTTAATATGATCTTCAATGTTATGTTATACTTCCTAACAAACCCGCACAATCCTAATAGTATTATTGCTATATAAAAATCAGTAACAAACTGATTTGTACCACAGATTATTTCCTTTGTGTGTATCCCTTCCATTGTAGCCCTTTTTATAGCTAAATGATGAAAGTGATCCATTCTCTTGAGGCTGTGTCTCTTATGGGCAGGCCTGTAATATATTGAATTATTTGATTTGAGCATGCCAGCTACTTGCTTTGGTAGCATCTTTTCAGCTTTTTCACAGAACTGCAATGTTCCCTTCTGATTGCTTTACCTCGAGTTCTGCTTTTTTGTGAGCAACTCACACTGGTCTTTGTCAGAAGATGCCTTACCCTGGCCAGCTGTGTTTCATGAGCAGTATACTGACTGTACAGAGCCCAGAAATTATCATGGTTACTCCTTTCTCCTAGACGCATACAGATAATTAGCGTTGTATTAAGGACTAAAAACATTCTAGGATAATTTTGTTTCCTTTCCAGGGATTTTACGGCCAGTGTTTTGGGGAGGATGCTGTGGAAGTGATTAAGGACTCTGCTCCTGTAGACAAAAGAAAGCTGGATCCCAATAAGGTAGAGAAAGTAGTACTGAGAGTGTTGTGTGTTTTGTCACAGAAGAGAAAGGAAGAGAGGGGGATCCCCTTGAAACTTTTATGCTCAGACATTGAGACACCCAGAGACATCTCTGCACCCAGGGATGTCCTTAAAGCGTCTGTGACAGGTTTAATTTGGTAGCTTGTCACAGAGTGTGGAAATTAGAAGTTCTGATCTCTGGTCCCTGCTCTGGCTCTGATTCCCAGGGTTAAGCTGTGCCCTCCCCAGAGGCAAGTTTTGGCATCTCTGAAGAAGAGAAGAAGCCCTGAAGGATTTGCAGCTCTGTGCTCTTCCAGACCACGCTTAGCCAATGTGAACTATGTGATATTTCACATATGCCATTCCTTTTACACTTCTTAGGTTGTAAAGTACTGTAATGGTTCTTCCCTGTTTTCTCAGGCATACATACAAATTACTTTTGTGGAGCCATATTTTGATGAGTATGAGATGAAAGACAGGGTAACCTATTTTGAGAAGAACTTCAGCCTCTGTCGGTTCATGTACACTACGCCTTTCACCATGGATGGGCGCCCCAGAGGAGAGCTTAGCGAGCAATACAAGAGGAACACCATCCTAACCACAATGCATGCTTTCCCCTATATCAAAACTAGAATCAGTGTCATCCAAAAAGAAGAGGTAATTGTGTTTTGAGGACAGATCTAATTTCTCAGGGGCTGAAGGAGTGTCTGGGTGGGAAGATTTTAAAATTCTATTCTTGGCAGAAAAAAAGAAGGCTGAATTTCTCAGATATGTTACTCTCATAAATAGGAGTTGCATAGAATGGATTGACAAATGCAAGGTGGGTATTTACTATGGAGAAGAGAGCCAAGTGTACATTTTTCCTAGTTGTAATGCTGTGTAGGAGGATGTATGGAGCTTTATTTATAACTGTACTCCTAGCTGATAAAGTATGGTCAAAGACCTAAATTGAGCTGCGAGCTAGTTTAGAGACAGGGAAGCTTTATAAAGGTAGAAAGTGCAAAACCATTTCAGACATGAAGTCAGTAACTTCGAATAATAATGAATTTATGTGAACAGAGAGTCAGATACACATCCTATTCTTGCAAATTATAAGATATCAAAGAGCTTTGGATCAGATGCAGCATGTACCAAGATGACATTTAGATTGAACAGTCTTTCTGGGTTTCACAACTACTGCTTTTGGCACGGGAGAATGATAGTGGTATTGCCAGATTTAGAGCAGGTCAACTGCATGCATGATTCAGGTAATGAAGCATCTTTTCTTCCACTTCCATTAGTTTATTTTAACCCCAATTGAAGTTGCCATTGAAGATATGCAGAAAAAAACACAGGAACTAACTGCAGCCACCAACCAAGAACCACCAGATGCCAAAATGCTCCAGATGGTTTTGCAGGGTTCAGTTGGAGCCACTGTAAATCAGGTAAGGGGTCCAAATAAGCCAGATGGAGAGTTTCTGCATACTTTTTTCATTGTGCTTTCTTTTTCACTGTTATATCTTGCACTGGAAGGAGTACATCTAGCCACATTTAGTCACAATGTGCATTTAAACTTCATCCCTTGATATTTAGTCATGAATACTGTTGATTAGGTATGCTTTTGGTGAAACTTCTCGTGGAAGTGCTGTCTTGGTTGTAGGTGCAGAAACTCACAGAAGCTTTGTGAATGCATCCAAGGATTTTGCAATTCTAGCACACTAGCTGTCTCAGCCATTTTGTTCACTCCAGGTATATCCTTGGGAAGTGGGAATAATAATAATAATAACAATTCTGCTGTGAGACCACCACAAACTCACGGTTTCACAGAAAATACATGAAGTCAAGACCGGAGTGCCCCATAAGAATGTTGAGATGCAATAATTATAACATAAATATGCCTGCTAACAAAAAAGGCAATTTAAAAAAAGTAAAATGAAAGAATGAAGACATAACTGAGAGAAAACTTGGCATTATTGGCAGTTTCACAGAGCTTGGTTTCTTCGCTGAAAGCCTAAATACTCCAAATTTCTCCAGATTTTTCATCAACCAAAGCTTCTAGTCTGAAGTAACACATTGT